AAAAAAAAAAGAAATTAACCCAAACACATACCCACTTCATATATTAGTAGTAACTATAATAAGTAATTTTACACATCATGGTGAATTACAGTGTCATTCCACCTTAATGTTAAATCGAAATTTGATTATAGCAAAAGAAAAAAAGCAATGAAAGCAAATGAGGCAATGTCCGTTCACAATATCGGTCCGGATAAAAAATGGCGAACACGTGCATCGTTACAGATCAGTGCTACACATCCGCATACATAACATAATACTATAGACAAAGTTCACAGTGCAAAAAGGACAAAGGTAGGTACCCGACAACATACAAAATAACATGAACATGTGGATTTTCTTTGACTACTTATACCCGCTAAATATTTGCCGCACCATCGACTTTTTTGCATCATCGTCCAGGCTAAAAAAAGTTCCAGCTCGTCAACATTTTTGCTTAAGTACCGCGCCATACCTACCCTTTCATTCGTTGTTTACTTTGAAATGTTTTTTAGTGCATCATACATGGCGATTCACTGCTTTTTGGCATCTACTTGGTAACCAACACGTGTAGACATTTCTGAAAGATGGTTGTTCATCTCTTGGCAAACAAATGAAAGTAGTCCTATTATTTTATCCTCCACCTCAACATTACGCTTTCTTTTTCCATCACGCTTAGACTTACCGGATGCACTACTCTCACCTGCTTGAGCCGAAAGGGAGTCAAAGTTAGTCTGAGGGTAACTCACATCACTCTGGGACTGCGTCTCCAGTGGGGATATGGCTCGGCACTTCGATATTAGTATCATGTAAGACATCATTGACCGCGTCAGTGAAACCTTGTGCCCCATCTCCCGTTGCCCGGTCCTTCCCGAAAATTTCAACCCAATCCGCATAAAATGGCCAACTTTTATAACGCAGTGATTTGGCCTTTGGGTGAGCCTAAAATAATGAAAAGAAATCAATTAATGATATTGCTCTTTTTAAATTAGTATTCGTTTCATACGTCATGAAATGTGTAAATGAATTTTATACCATAACATAGGCTTGCCACACCGCCTCCTCCTTCACAGTAATCATTTTCCCAGTTTCATTCCATCTAAACCCCGAACTAGCAAGCATCTCTGAAACTAAATCATAATTTTTTTTTTTTCCAAACTGTAATCTTTGATGATATGTGAGGTTCGATTTTTATGGTAGTACCCGGAAACATTTGTCGAATATGTTGTTCTAATATGGTGGTGTATCCATTGCAAAATCCGTTGTCGCATTTCCAGTCGCGTGTGACAAGATCTCGCAAACCATCAATCAATGCACTTTCCTCAGCTACATACCAAACTCGACGTTGTCCGCTGGGCTAGGATTTGCGTCCCCCACTGCCAGTGGATTCCATGCTTAAAAATGGCCAAAGACATAAGTGAGAGTAATATGCTTTCCCAATAACCAAAAATGAAAGATTTATTCATAAATACAAAATTGGATAACTAACAAACAATTTATACATATTTATATTTATACATTGTAACACAAACCTGTTGGTACACGAAGCCCCCTCGTCGATGAACGGCGTCTCGTAAAACCCTACTGTCTGCCGCAGATTCTTCCCAACCGGTCAGTACATAAGAAACATTCATTTCTTGCGTGCAAACACCAAGCACATTAACAGAAACAAAACCTTTTCTATTGCGATATCGTGGGTATAGACGCAGGAACACGAAAAGGAACATAAGTTTCATCCAAGGCTCCTAAGAACCCCTTGATTAATCCACATGCAAAACCAGTCTAAAATTTTAATATTTTAAAATTCCAAATACGAAAAAAAAATAGTTAAAAATATTTGAATACCATATAAATATTTAATATGGTGTTTTTGTTGTATCAATTTTCTTTAAAGAATTTTAATAAATTAAAATTATAAAATGTGATTACGATTTTACCATTAGAATTATATTACAAATAAGGACGTTTTTCCAAACAACAATTCTATATCTTTTAAAATCTTTTTTGTTTGAGTTGATTTTTGATAGATATGTAGAAGAAAACAGATTCGTAAGAAATGATGCTTCAAGAATACTGTAGTTGATTTTTAATAAATGTGGTTAATTAAATATTAGTTATTAATTAAAAATATAAGAGAATGAGTATTAGTGTGTTACAATTTTGTCATTAAAAACATTACAAAATAATTTATTTTAGTTAAGTTATTTTTTAATTAGAAATATAAAATAAACTACATATTAGTGTATTACTAAATTGTCATTAAAAATATATAAAAAGATTGTTTAGTTAGTTATTTTTTTACAAAAACACTCATCATTTTAGAGTAATTTAGAAGATATTACATACAAACTAAATTTGTTTGCTGCATTATCAACTCATAAAATAAAGAAATAATATTGGTATAGGAAAGTGTTTTAAACTCTTCATCCGTGATTCAATTAAAATTAAAAAATTCTTGCAATTTCATGAGTTTGTATGTACGCATGTATCAGTTTATATTTGAAAATCACATAACTAAAACATGCAGGTTCCCAAGTGACTTTTTATGCACGATTAACGAAAATTAAGATGGTACCAAACTACTTGTTTATGGTTGAGCTAGCGAGTAGTATACAAGGGGCTTTGTTGCAACAAGTGCAAGAAAACTACGTCGGATTGCACGAAGGCCGAAATTACTCAGTCCGCCAAGATATGTCGCACTTCATATCCATTTTTTTTTCCCTTAATTTGGTATACAACAAACGCTTATGTGGAGAATGGTAAAAACACATACTAAAAGTCACATAAATCTCCCGCAGCTGTGCCTGTTATCAATGTAGTAGTCCTCCAAACCGGACAGTGCGTACTCCAAACGTTTTTATTGCAACTTGACATGTTTTGAGAGAGTGTATTATCGTAGCAAAAAACACCTAAACTGAGAAAAAAACAACTTTTAGTAAAGATGAAAGACTCGAATATTTTTAAAATACTCCATGTTCATTTATTTTTCCGGACAAGAACTGACCTCCATATCATCTGGTCCTATCCTGCCTTCTTATTTGCTTTGCATCTGAGATGTGAAACATAAGCTGCATGTATGGGGTTGTTAATGGGTCAGATAAAAAATTGCACCACGAAACAACAATTTTGTTAGAACATCCTCTAATGTTTTTTCATTATACCTTGGTCCCAACATAGAATGACACGAGCAAGGCAAAAAGTGTGGGCAGACCTGCTAACATCATGAAATGTGATATAGCTCTGCAGCATTATCAATCGTAAGAAAGGAAGTAAAATGAACAAACCTTCCTTTTGGAGGAATCCAGAAACCAACCAATTAATGCCAGATGGCCCAATTACAAAACCAACAAGATTAGCTACCTGTACCAGTAGCACGAAAATCGATGTCTTTAGATATCTAGTTATTCATACGTGCAATCCAGTTCAGTAAGAAAGAGACTTTCATGGACATTAGCATTAAAGAATCTTTCAAAAGATGCTTAATGATGAAGTAGGCAGAAAACAAACCATCAGACAAGTTATAGTGATTGCACCAGCAACAGCTCTAAGTTCACGAAAAACAAATTCCCAGAAAGCACCCTCAACCTGAAAACAATGTGTGATAGAACCGTGGTGAGATGCGGGGCTAAGTTAGCAGTCCAAAGGATTGTTTACATGTTATTTAGTATGCACAAAAGTTCCTTCTTGAATCAATATAGTTTTCCAAACCAAAAGCTAGCATAGTCAACCTCCAGCGTAGGAATTTAATTCATCTTTAAGTTACACACAAATATTGTAAGTGTCGGATTAACTTTACCTTTGTCCTAAGCCATCATCTAGACTTACCCTGTTTTAGATAGAAAAATCTCAGACCAACACTGTGGAGCTTCATGTATCCCATAGAACTGTTTCAATAACGCCACATTTTCGAAATTCTCGTCCAACCTGATTTACTTTAAACCACAAAAATCTTCATATCTTTTGACTTACCTCTCCTTGTGAAATCCTAAAAAATAATTTTCTTTCTTCTCAGAAGCCCAAAACATTGTTTTCAAGCAATGTTCAGTTGCTACTTGCCTAGTTGATTACATGGCGGATGAAAATAAGAGAAGAGATCGAAATGTGAAGATACCGGAAAGGCAGCTGCTGCAGATTTTACAAGCATTTCTGGAATAAAAAATATACATGTCAACCACGCCCAAGAAAGAAGCTTCCTGAAATCAAAGAGAAAAGTCTACTATATCAGAAAACCTGCTGTCACAAAAGAAGGTAACCATTTCTGCCATGCAAGAAGTCTTAGAAGCAAATAATACCACTCTAAATCATGCCACACAGCAACAAAGGTGAAGACGGCCCATACATTCAGCAGCTTTGTTTGAGAACCCCCAAGTGGGATATACACATACCTAATAAAACATCAAGTGATCGTTGCTGCACAGCTCATCAATATATTGTATGAACAAAAATTAAATATGAGAAATTGTAAACAAGCTTTATACCGAACAAGCCATCTGTTGAATGAAGCATGCCAATTTTTCCAAAAACTTTCTAGGTTGTGGCAGTTGTTTACACATCTAGGCATATTCTCAGGAGCCACAATGCCATTAACCTACATGCAAATGTTAGTATTAGAATAATACTGCAACACCAAATGCCTTGGAAATGAAGTAAGTAATGAGACAATGAGAAGGTTACACCATTGACCAAAATCGGAAGTAGCGCCAGATCAGGAAAAATTTCAGCCACATGAAGTTGAGAACCTGTTTGGGTCAAATATTTTTGTAGCAAGTTAGACATATGCATAGAAAAAAAA